CCATCGCGTCGGCCTTCCACCAGGTGAAGTTCCTCAAGCCCCAACACCAGCGACGGCTATTCCGCCTGGTCTGATTGGGCCCATGCCAGCCTACGAACCACGGGGAGTTCTTCCTCCTGATGGCGCGAGGCCCTCTGGAGCGAGCTCGAGGAGATCATCTGTCGAGGAGCCGGCTCAGGAGCCAGATGGACGAGACGAGCTCCCCACCATCATTGAGGAGCCTCCTGGACTGTCGACTTCTGGAAGCTCATCCACTTCTGGGCCTCCTCCTAACAAGGTCGCTAGAACTACCGAGGGTACCAGAGCTCCCGGCACTCCGATGCAGCCACTGATGCAGATCGTCCGGCGGAATCAAGGACTTCCTGAAGAAGACGAAAGAGAGCACTCTCGATCTCCACGACGAGCTGGCGATCATGCGGATGAGGAGCTGTGGTCATGGTTCTATGTGGGTGACACGGGCGAGCTCAACCTCCTCGCCAAGCGTAGTGACGAGATCTCCCTGAAGGAGCTGTCGGAGGAAGAGCGGAAGCTGTTCGATGGATCCGATCAGCTAGAGTGGGAGGCGATACTCAAAACTCGAGCGGTTCGAGTGCTGACAGGCCGAGAGGCCGAGGCTGTTCGTCAGAAGTGGGGGGATCGCATTCTGTCGTCCCGCATGGTCAGGCGTAAAAAGCCCTTGGACCAGGAGAACCGCTGGAAACCGAAATCCAGGTGGTGCCTCGGAGGCCACACGGATCCCGATACGGGGTCCCTGGTCACGTTCGCCCCGACGCCTCAGGGCGAGGGCATGATGACTTTCATGCAGACTAGCCTCAATTTGGGCCATCGGTTCGTATTCTCGGATGTCAAGAACGCCTTTTGCCAGTCGAACCGGCTCCACCGCCCAGGCGGTCCGCTTTTCGCAGAACCATGCTCAGGACTGAACCTCCCGGAAGGCGCGATCATCGCCATTGACATCCCAGTCTATGGGCTGGACGATGCGCCAGCAGCATGGAGGCGGACCGTCGTGCAGTACCTCACGGAGGTCATGAAGTACGAGCGAAACCTGGTTGAGCCATGCTGGTTCATGCGTTTTGAGGAGGACCCCAAGACCAAGGAGATCTCCAACGTGTCCCAGATCTTGCTGGAGGTCGACGACTTCATCGTGACCGCGCTCGAGTCCCACGAGAAGGAGATCGAGACGAGCCTGAAGGCGCGCTTTGATTTCGGCAAGTGGCAAGCCGGAAGTGCAGAATATGCCGGGCGACGGGTCCGTTTTCTTGGAGATCGGATCGCCGTGGATCAAGGCAAATACATCAGAGAGCAAATTCGGCCAATTCCACTGGAGAAAGGACGAAGGCAGGATCGAAAGTCACTCCTTGAGCCCCACGAGTTTGAGGCGCTCAGATCCGCCATCTACAAGATCAACTGGGTGGCGAAGGAGAGTCGACCTGAGATGGCCGGCTTGGCGTCCATCATGGCGTCGCGCCTGAAAGTGGCGACCATCGACGACATCCTCACCGTCAACAAGTGCGTGAATCACCTGCACAACACCTCCGAGCGAAGCATCACGCTTTGGAAGATGGACCCGAAGGAGATATGCTTCCTGGTGGTGACCGACGCCGGTGGAATTACTACTCGTGAAGGCGAGGTGGACGAACTGGGACTGCCCGTGGATGCAACCCAGGGGGCCTGGGCAGTCATCGCCACGGACCGGCTTCCGGTCGGCAACGAAAGAATCAAGGGGTCCATCCTGGCCTGGAGATCGAGCAAGCTCAAGAGAAAAGTCTACTCAAGCTTCGGAGGCGAGGTGCAGGCAATGCTTCAAGGCGTCAACGAGGTCGACTGGCTGCAGATCATGGTGCGAGACGCGGTCTTCCACGACGTCGCGTTGAAGAGCTGGAGGAACAGCCTCTCGCCCCATATGCTGGTGCTTCGAGGCGACTGCGAGCTACGAGAACGCCAGCAGCAGTGCTCCGTGACGGACGCCAAGTCTTTATATGACTGCCTGCTGAAGGAGAATCCGCAGGGGCGTCAAGATCGTAAAGCGGCACTCGAGCTAGCCATAGTGGTAAAAGATCTGCAAGATACAAAGTCAATGATTCGGTGGACACCCCACCAAAAGAATCTTGTAGATAGCCTCACCAAGCTTGACCCCTTGAAGGGGAACGGCGCAATGGACGAGTTCCTTAAGCAAGGCATTTTGTCATTAGTCGACGTCCAAGAAGAGCTCAAGAATCGAGCCGCAGATCCCAAGTTTCGTCGGCGAAGTCACTCAGCAGCGGTGGCAAGACTGATCGACGAGCATAGAGAAGCTTACCAGAGTCTCTGGTCAACTTTAATTCTGGGGAACTGTGAAATTTCAGCTGCTGTGTTGCACGAACATCAGACTGAGGATTGACCAGAGACGCAGGTTGCTTCGCATCGGCCACCGGATGGCTCAAGGGGCAACATGCGGCAGAGTGTAGAAAAAGATCGCTGAAGCTTTTGCGCGCCAGCTGTGACCGTTTCCGGCACATAGTCTATGCCTGCCTGCCGGTTGTGTATCCACTGCCATGTGCGCTTATCTTTGGAGCAGGGTCTGGCGTGCCTTCTAGGCCCTGCCCAACTCATACATATTAGTGGTTGGTGGTTCCACTCGTGAGCAATCTTGCCCAGGCGAATCAGGCAAAACACAGTTCGTTACAATTGCGGTATCTATATGTGCACATGAAGACACGTGCTATGCCACTATGCGCTTGCTCTTGTTGTGCAGGGAAGCCACATACCTGTCCAACACCTTCGCTTTTGGATCGTGAGCTCATGTCCCAGCACCTGAAACCCCAGGCCAGATGTCGCACAGGGCAGGGTGCACTGCTGAAAGATCCAACTTCCACACATCATGCGCCGTTGAAGGTTCCAGTGCTGTGCGCCTGGATTTCAGACAACCCGTCTCCCGCTGGCCGAATGAAGCTTTGGTCTTCCACGGTGGGCGCGCAAGCATGGCGCAGCATGACCAGCAGTTTGCGGTCCAAAGACTGACAAGGTAGCCAGTCTTTATCCATGGTCAGCGAAGAGGCCGGCGCCTCAGCCAGATGATCAGATGACTCGGCGCCTTGTCGCAGACGCGAAGGCTGGACAAGGTTGGTGAACTTCTGGAGCTCCCGCAGCACAAACGCCTATTCCATGAGACGTGGGAGGCGCGCAAAAGTTTTGGGACCTTCATTGTTGCCGTATTCCAGAACCCGCGTTCTTTTCTTTTGCATGCTTTCGAGGCAGCTGATGCGATGCGGGAAGAGTCGTCCAGCTCCCCTGTTTTTGTTGTGCATGTCGGGTTTGCCGACTCGCCGATAAGGATCAAGAATTGAAACATAGCCAACCACAGGTCTGGGGGTGGCTTGGCCGTGGGAGTGCTTTTCGCCAGCGGACATATCAATGCCCTTGCATGCGCAGAGGCAGGCGGCAAAGGCATGTTCCGTCATCTGGTTGAAGTGCGGCAATGCAGGACGGCGCCGGCGCGAGTAAACCTGTTCCAGCTTGTCAAGAGCACAGTATACTTTGTTTTGGTCTTGCTTTCCGGCCCGGCAACAGTTGCATATGAACTTGATCGAAGCGGAATTGCGAATTGTTTAGGTTTGGACAGAGAAGTTGTTCTACTCGCCTCGTGCTTGGAGGACTAGACTGACTAGACTTGCCCGCATGTCATGTTGTGATATTGTGATTGCTTCGTCTTGGATCGAAACGCAAAAAAGCGGAGGAAGGCAAAGAAGCGGCGAGCGATCCCGTGCTCCTCCTTCTTCTGGATACCGACGGTCGGCTTCGCTCGCCGAGCTCCGAGCTCCCTGCCCCAGGAGAAAGCGGAAGCTACCGTAGAATAGCCATCCGATGCGAGGCCACAAGCACAGGCAAGAGAGTACATGTCAGCGCCTCAGCGCCCCGTGTGATTTCGTTTGGAAGGGCGCAAAGTTGTCTTCGCAGTTCACCCCGATTCGCGCCGTGAGGCTGCAGCGTGGCTTTCCCAATTTGCAGGTCTTGGTACTCGACGAGGCAACTTCCCCCACGCGCTCTCGGTTTACTATTTTGTACTACTTTGGCTCCATGTACCTTATCTATACTTGTGTGTCTCTGCCATGTCAGCTAGTTCCGTATCTGTCTGTCTCTCTCTCTCTCTCTCTCTCTCTCTCTCTCTCTCTCTCTCTCTCTCTCTCTCTTGTTTTGTCCGTGTAGATGTCTATTCAAGTATCTACCCATGCATCTCCTTGCATGCCCACAAACATGTCTACTTGTGTGTGTGCTTGTGAAAATCCTTTCTGCACTTTACACACATACGTGCGAGATTTTGACCACATTGTGAGTTGCCAGTGGCGGAAGGTATGGCCAGGATAAGTAGCGAAATCAGGGCGAATCAAAGCAAACATTTGTTGCGCAAAATCTTCAGTAGACTGATTTTTGCAGCCTCTGCGCATAGGGGTTGTGACATAAAGGAGCTGTAGCCGCTGAATCGTCTCCAGGAAGTCCTGCACAGACGGTGAATTGTATGCCATTGTATGCTAGCAGATGGCAGAACAGACATGCAACAGTTACAAAGTCTGCGCGGCCACTATGGGATCTCAGCTGGCAGGCATGCGGCAAGCCGGCTGCAGTCAGCTGTTGCTGGCTCAGGTGGAAAAGCGGACAGCAAATCGACGGGGAAGTTGAGACGTGGAGAACCGTCTCGACAGTGCACCCGGCTCCTGCAGATCAGTGTAGCATGATCCGAGTCCTGCACGGAGACCAGATTGGAGGGCGGTGCAGTACCTTGAATCGCCAAGGCCGACACCTTGCTGGAGAATGGCCTGAGGATCATGAAGCCTGCGCCAATGCAAAAAAGGTCGAGCGATACGGTGCTTGTCCATTGCATTGCAAATAAAGTGTAAGTTGCCACTGATATCGCGCGCGATATCGCGTGCATCATAAATTTGTATTGCTGATCCATGCCGCAAACCCAGCTGCCAGCGTCAGGCGGAACAGAACACATGCTGAGATGTAAATCTTAGCCCGAGGTCGCAGGCCTTCCGACAGTGCTATGCAGAGGGCGGCTGGCAGCAGCCTTATGCAGTGCAGGCGACAAGCGCCAATATGGCCGGTCAAAGATGGTGGGAGAAGGAAGCATTATGAAGCATCAGTTTGCAGAACGAGCGCAGTGAGCGTGAGCTGCCATTGAGTAAGACACATTTTTTCCGGATGTTGTCGCGCAGCATCAGGCCGCGCTTCTATCGAGGGCTACTGCCAGAAATGGTTCCTGCCTCGGCGCAGTCCGTCGCGGGGTTTGGGAGCGGGTCCGGCGGATGCTGTGAGAGCTGGATGGATGATTTTCGTACATGCAATCGGCGCCTATCCGGAACATGACGTGTCAGCGTGTGTCCTTGAAGGGCTGAGGCTGTCTGATGGTACAGAGCCACTCTCGTCGACATTCAATTTAGCTTGATAGTGTAGTCTGTGCGACTTCGTTGAAATGCACGCTCGGTTCAGCATAAGCATCGCTCAAGCCCAAACTTGTGGAATGATGGCATGACTTGCCTGCATAGCAGCTATGTACCGGGCGATACCCTGCAGCCCTCGAAGCAATAAATGTACGAGCAGACACCGAAGTTCATGCCAGCTTTCCTCATTCCTGCTATGTGCACGAGGTTGGCAACGTGCCCACCCGGACAGCTATGTTTGCGGGCAAAGACTTCTCGCCAAGCTGGCTTGAGCTCTTTCCAACTTCAAGTTAGTCAGTTCGCGACTCTGTTTGTGCTTTGTAAGACATGGCTTGGCATGTCAGGTTCGCATGTGTGTCCTCACGGCCATGACCTAGTACATTGCTTGGTCGCATCTCCATGGTGGGGAGAGCAGTGGGCATGTTTGACGGTTTGTGCATTTCTGCGTTGGAATCGGCCCAAGCTTTCGTTACAGCTATGAGTGCTCCCCCGAGAGAATGCAGGACTTTCAAGTGCCGTTTGGCAGGTGCAGCGAGCAGAACTGCATGCCCGGCAATTGCGGATCCTTTGATGGCAGCAACACCGGCGCAAGTTTTGTGAACAATGGTTCGACATGCGTGGGGAATGCTAGCAACGGTGGGTGGCAGCGTGCCACCGCGGAAACAGGAGGTGGCAATTCAGGAGGCTGCAAAGCTTGCAGGTGTGAATCCTCCACTTCTGCGTGCAGCTCAAGCGAGCCGCAGCTTCAGAACCCTGCACAAAGTGGAGGTGGCAATTGGCCTGCTGGCTGTGCAAATTCTGGCTGGGGCAACTTTGCAGCAGGCGGGGAGAACTGTTACTACTTGTATCTCATCTAGTCCCCAACTGCCGGTTTTAGGAGTTCGGCTCTTCCCCCTCGATCCCCTCAAGGTGCACAGGCAAATCAATGCCCTGGATGGCCGAACCAAAGCCAACAGCAATCTAGCTGGCAGCAAGGATGCAGTGGATGCAACGGTTGCGGCTTCGGTTGTTGTGGGTGCGGCTGCGGTTGCCCTTGTGCTTGCCCATCAGGCCGGGGCTTCAGTTGCACATGCGGGCATTGTGCAACAGCTTCACTTGACACATCAGCTTAAGCACGGTGAACAGCAATATATCTTTCAGGTCGGATCCGATCGGTGTGAGGCAGACATGCAGCATAAATGACCAATGCGTTCCGGAGATATAATTAGAAGCACAGAAGCATGTCGACTGTAAATCCTCGCCAAAGCAACCAGTACAAGTTGCGCATGCTGATGGCAAGTCAAAGCAAAAAGGGAAGGGTCGCAAGCGTTTGAAGATTTGCACATTGCACATGCACATGCGCGCTCAAGGCTGCGGCTGCGGCGGCTGTGGCTGCAATTGCTTGCCTTGCGGTTGCAACCCCTGTCAACAGTGCAGCTGCGGCAACTACAACCCCTATGCAAATTGCGGCTGGTGTCCCGGCTACAATCTTAATGGATGCCAATGGAACTGGCAGCAACAGCAGATGAGCGATGAGCCGCGATATTCAGGAAGGACGCGAGCGGAATGGGTGTCTCGACGTTTACATGTTGTTGTTCTTCGTCACAGACTGGGAGTCGGAATACTAGACAGAAGCTTCAAATGGGTTCGTGGCGTGTTTGCTAGAAACTGAAGGCCTGAGGGGCAGGTTCGCTTTCTCAGCGCTGGTTCTAAAACCTGGAGATTAGTTCCATGAGTTCTCGATTTATCCAGAGCACCAGTGATCTTAAAGCATCGCCAAGGCCAACTGGATTGCCACCCCTTGCGGTGATCGGTGGTGCCAGACGAAGTCTCATGAGGCAAAGTGCTTGGTTGATTGGATGATTCGAACCTGGGGCCTCGAATTGCTACAAAGCGGCAGCGGGGTGATTGATGTTGGAGGAGAACCCGGCTTCGTTGCCATGGCGCTGCTTGAACGAGGTGTGCCAACCATTGTGGTCGATCCGAGTTGGGGTTTGACAGGCAAAACGAACCGCTTAACGAACATCGACCAAATGATGCAAATGCCTGGTTGTCCAAAGTTTTCCGCCTTGCGAGACATGTTCGATGAGAACCTTTATGCCAAGCACGCCGACATCGTCTCGTCCGCCAGTGCAATCGTGTCCCTTTACGGCGACGAAGCAACTGAACCGAGTCTTCGTTTCGCTGCTTCTTTGGGAAAGCCTTGTGCACTGATCCCTTGCAACGAATGCATTCGCTTCTTTCCAGCCAACAACCAGACATATGACGGCTATGTGCAAGCCTGCATGGATATTGCTAACCAGAACCGGGGCCGATTTGAACTTGTCAATTTGGTTGGTGCACCATTTTCCCGCGCCCTCCTGGTGCAATCACCCTTGCCTGAGTGGGCAGAAAGTGTCATTACGAATGTGAGCCCATCAACTGCTCCCACGTCAGGGAGCAAGTGCAACGAGTCCCTGACAGTCCCAGTCGGCGTTCTCCAGGATCTGGGCATCCTCCACCAAGTTCTTTGGAAGATGGAGCTGGCTAGGCGACATACATAGGAGCGACCGACCCAAGGCAGCAAACACCTTTTGCACGAATGTACTAATGGATGCTTGTTGATTCTGATATTGTAGACAGGGAACGCGATAATGGCAACATCAGCAAAGCCATCTGCTTACTCCCGGTTACAGACGACACATGCTACTCTCGCCCAGTGGGAAAGTAGCAGCAGCCTGTTCCATCTTGTTGATCAGTGGCGAGCGATGGTGAGGGGTGAGCATCTTGAAGAGTCGTGGCCCGTTCGCAAATGCGAAGGCAATGTACAGTAGACTTTGCCAATCTCTGACAGCAAATTGCGAAAACGAGAGTCCTTGGCAGGGATGTCGGCATGTGTCGATTCGACGTCCGCAGGCCGTGCCGCATCCCTTTGCCAGGTCGAGGCTCTTGGAAGCCAATGGCTACCAGCGGTCTTGTGCCGCTGGCCTATGACTGCCTAGCATGCTCTTATGTTCTCCTGTGTTCCCCCTCTGAGCTCTAGACACCTTTCCCAGGCTAGAGAAGGCGTGGCCGGTTTCTGCTCCGGCACGCTGCTCATGTCTCGATGCAGGGACACTTCTGTGTGCCATAGATGCGCCCTGGCCTCTGAGGGCTTCCAGAAGCACTTGTGACAACGCCGTTTCAAGTTGTCAAAGTTCGCATGCAGTTCGACACTTATGCAATCACATTGTCCTGTGAGCCAGCAAGGTTGCCTCTTGTTGCATATGCTTTCAGACAGCTGAGCACTGCAAGGAGCAAGGAGCTGGTGCAGTTCTACCGCAACGACTTCGATTGCCTGGTGAAAGTTGTTGCCTCAGGGCAGACGTCAGCTGGACTGCCGGAACATTCCTCAGAAAAGCAGCGTTCAGGTATTATCAGATGAAGGTGCGATGGCGCTCTTCACGGGATTATCCACAACTGTTACTCGACTTGCCACTTTTCATCAGCTGTGGTGATTGTGTCCGTTCGATCCTTGTCCCTGGGCTGGTTTCCGAAGGTGATTCGAAATTGCGTTTGGAATGGCGTCCCTCGGTGATCATTTCAGACTTGAACTTCGTGCGGGTGTCATGTGCGGTGATGCTCGCAGATCTATTTCGGGGCCATCGCAAAACTGTCCGACTGGAGTGGCCCTGGACCAGACGGATTGGCCATGGATCCCAGTTGTCAACTGGTGACCCCCAATGGCAGAAGCACGGTTTGATAGCTTGCTAGGTCAACACGCCAGTAACTGGCGGTACAGTTCCTCAGTTCATGATTAGATCAGCTGCTTGTGGCATGCACCCACGCAAGGACTTGTTAATCGAAGAGACGCGACCCTCAATAGGCGATGACCGTTGATCTCAAAAGTTAAACGCGGCCTCTCGTTAAGCGATGGCGGCTGATTCCTTAAACTTAAGCTTGCTTGTCTGCCTTGTGCGAGCGTGTGCGTCGAAACCTGCCGAACTTTGCGGTTGATCCCACAACTTAGACCCGATATACTCGACACAGACACCCGCCGCCCCACAGACCCCTGCCACCTCCACTACCCACACGGAAATGCCTCTGGAGTACAGCTGCAAGCAACTCGTGACATCTCGTGACACGCTAGTGTTGCCCGAAGGTGCAAGGGAAAACTGTGCAACACAAAAGTCGCCCGACAAGTCTGGACCTCCGTGCTACAAGTAGCGCCTGGCCGTCTGTTTGTTTTGTTTCTATACTGATTCACCGTGTGAGGGACTCTGTCTTGCATTTATTTGCTATGCAGCCTGTGCCGGATCACGACTGCATGTGCCTCAGTTCACAAACTTCTGGTAAACGCTGGGTGTCCAATCCCAACCTAAACTTGGGCAGCACAAGGCGGGCGAAATCCAGAACCTGGTTACCGGGCTTTGTGCTGGAATTCTGGCAACGCTATGCCCTCATGTGGAGGTTTGTCGTGCACTCGAACGTGGCTACTTTCAGTGAGTCATTGCCCGAGGTTATTTGATGCTCCGCTTGACGTGGTGTCCGAAGCCCAGAGATCGCAGGCCAGCTGCCAGCAGGTGCACTCTACTGAGGAAGAGCCGGATCCAGGAAAGCAGACCTACAGCTCGCAGGATTTCGTCTTTGTGCAGGGAAGTGTGCTAGTTGCCAGTGCCGGGGGTGCCGGGGATCGTGCACGAGGCTGCTTGAGGGGTCCGCGGAAATACGAAACGAATGGAAGGACGCTGCCTGCAACACTACTTGAGCTCTCGCGAGAAGGAGGCAGACCGTTGTGCAGATGTGCAGAAGGGGAGACTGCAGCCATCTACAGCTCATGCTCCCAGGAATTCCCGCATTGTACAAGGGCTTTGTGCCCAAAGCTTGGAGGATGGGGATTGGAGGCCGCAGCATCTACAGCTCTGTGGGCCACGGAAGCTTGCGTGGCATTCGAACCTTGACTTGAAGGTGCAGTTGGCTTCGTGACCTTTGAGTTCGTGCACCGCGCCCTGACGAGAGCCAGACCAGCCTGAAACAATGGAACCCACCGCAGGCAGTAAAACACCACTTCGAACGCATCGCGGTTAATGGTGGTCATGAGTCTGATGCCTGCCATGCGAAATGCGATGATTGGTGACTTGTGGTGTCGTGTCGTCCTTCGCACCCTCCTCGGCGCAGCCATGAATCTCAAGGAGAAACTGTGTCCAGGAGTGTTTGAGTTCGGTCTGCTCGCACGGTTCTCACCAGTCTGCAGTTTGGAATTGCGTTTAGGGCCTTGGTGTTGCCGACTCAAGGGTTTGCCGGACCTCTGGAATTGCTGCGAGAGCTATGAGCGCAGCACCAGATCTCGGCGCTGTTCCAGATAGCATCACCACCAAGGATGCCGTCAACATTTTCAGCAGCTTGTGGCATGCCGTCAGGTAAGGTTTGAAAGACAAGGTTGCTCGCAGGTCAAGGTGAAGCCAGCTTGAGAGTCCGAACACTTCGATTCAACATTGCACAGCAACTCCCCACTACCACAAACGTTTCTCTTCCTGGCCCTCGAACCTTGGATGGTGAGGACGAGTACGAGACATGTCTGGGAAAGCTTTCTTTTCGCGACGGACTCCCGGACAATGACACAGTCCAGAAGGTCTACGACAACCTGGACAGGCGAGGTTTGTTTACAAGCGGTTTTGCGAGATTTTGCGAGACAAACGAGACACCCGACCAAATCCTCCAAGGCCCAAACAGAATCTCAAGCAGTTATGCTACGAAACCTAAAGCTCTCCCAGACTTGGACAAGCCTGTATGAATGGTTGTTCCTTCTGCCGCACCGGACCACTACTCGACCAACTAAGCTTCGCAAGTTTCTTCTACAGCCCAGATCCCGGGGCGTGAGTGCCTTCTTGGATATGGTGCCTTTGGCATCGCTAGAGGCTATGCGCCGTGGCTTGGCAACTCGGCAGCAATTGAGAGTTGTTACCCGAAGCGACTTGTAAGACAAGCTACAGATTTTGCTCGTGACAATCTCTTGCGTTTTTCAAGGCATCACAGATTCTCCAAACAGACCCTCCTTCCACCAGAGTCGTGTAGTGTCGTTATGTTTGGCTTATAACAAAGATGGAGCATGACACAAAGATTTGATGTCGCGGAGCGAGTGAACCCTCTCGATAATGCATCCATTGGGTTGTTCGAGGTAGAGAGTGGCATGGATGCGGCGAACAAGGTTATGATATTCGAGACTCTGATGGACTGCAGCAGCCTCTTCCTCACAGGCAACACTGACACAGCTTCATGGCGAAACAGTGGTGCACATGTCCGAAAGGATGTAGATGTAGATGGATGTAGTGTAGGCATCCATGGCATATACTTATCCTAGTAGCTTACTTTACTTACTTGTACAACCATGACGACACGCACAGCATCTGCAGACATCATCAGTAACGACTTTGCTTGGCATTCCGCTCTTGTGGCCTAGACTGAACCCTCGCCTTTTGAGATACATGGATGCATGTGTGGACGGACGAGACAAACGGTTCTAGTTTGACAGACTGATGTGGAATCACATCTCAGCGTGAGGTTTACGCAACGGGCCTGCTCAATCTTGAGAGGGACGGACCTACCGTCATTGAGATGCCCCCTAGCGTGGGGCCCTGTACGGTGGACGATGCGTTCTTCCGCTTCGTCACTGACATGGGTGGTCCCGGCCCAGACCGTGGTGCGGGAGGGAAATATTTGATCCTGCCCCCGGGCTACAAGGGCAGCACCCCAGAAGGTTATTACATTGCCACGTCGCCGACTTACACGAATTGGTTCGTGGGTCGGGGCTTTCTTCGCGAAGGCAAACCGGATCATGCTGCCGCCGAGTGGCGAGACAAGCTCAAGGTCTACCCGCTGTCTGCTTCCGGCAATCCGCCCAAGATGGAGTACTTAAACATCTCAGGCAGGGTGATGAACACGATTCATGCCAACGACTTCAGCTTTTTCGAGGAGGTGAATGCCGTCATACAGTATGAGCCGATTGATTTCTTAGAGCCAGAACTCAGGGGCAACCTTGCCGCCATAGGCATCATGAAGGGCAAGCATTTCCAGCCGGACGAAAGGATGAAAGCACTTCTCACGGAGGCCGCCGTGATCGGCAATGCGACTTCTCGAGCCATTTCTTTCGCACCCAGGGATAATCCGGAGATTTACGAAAACAGCGAATGGCAGAGCCTTTTCCAGGGAGGTGACTACCATTGGCTGGGTCACGGAGGTGCAGGAGGCCGGAACAAAGATGCACGAACGAGGTTCTTTTATGTTGCCACTGTGAACAGCGCAGCGATGATCCTGAAGATGGTCGGTGTCGGATCACAGTATGCGATGGCAAGCCGGGACTCGGAGCACAAGTACCTGGATGGAGCAAAAACCTACAGCCTCACACTGCCACCCAATGTGCCAGCAAAAGACTTCTGGTCTCTGGTGGTCTACGACACACAGACTCGCTCCATGCTCAAGACGAAGCAGCTCTTCCCAAGTCGCAACTCGGTAGCCCATGCAGCCGAAATCAAGCAAAGTCCGGATGGCTCCACGACAGCTTCCTGGCAGCAACCCCGCTGTCGAGTTGAACCTCCCATCTGAAAAGCTTATTGCTGCAGTCCCGTTCGTCTCTGTGCGTGTTTGGTTTCCATCTTCTGCTTAAAGGGAACAGCCATGCTGACATATGTGTTCACGGCAGAAGGTGGTACAATGAAGCTGAGTCCCCACAACTCCAGCCTCCCCTAAAACGGGGGCACACGTGCAGAACCTTAGCTGGCACTGGCACGTCGAAGTGGGTCCTTTCATTGATGGCCTTGGAGACTTCAGGGCGAAATGCAGTGCTCGAAGATGCGCGGGATTGATCTATTGTTCGGGTCTTGATTCTTAGGGCAGGCCAGTGCTGACCTCTTTTTATGAAGAGTCTTGTCCCTCGCAAGTCTCAGAAGACACAGACCCTGACGCAGACCCATGTGCACCGGGCCAACTGAGGTTTGGTTTGCCCCGTCTGCACCCCCTGGCCACGAAGGGAACTGGATTCAGACAGTACCTGGAAAGCCTCTCGCTTAAAGTTGAGTGAAAACATAGATACCAGTCTTACGGGGCAGAATGATGCAGTCAAACAACAGCTCCACCCCCTCCCCCTCCAGCAAAGGCAAAGCGCATAGCGGCATAGCATCAGTAGTGGTCGCAGCAGCAGACTGGCAAGAACAGGAGTTGTCGCGTAAAGGGGCAAGGTGAGGGGGCAGTAGAAAGAGTTGATGTTCAGGCTCAGAGCTTGAATGTATTTCTGCCTTTGCCATCCGCCTGGTAAAAACTTGCGGCCCGTTGTCCTAAAAGAAGCGGTGCAATTGCGTCGGGTTAGGTGCCAGCACTATCCCGAACCACTGTCGTGTGGATGCGCGCTTGTCGTTGTCCCTTGTCAGGCCGCCGTTGCGACCCCTGCCTGGCCAAGATTGATTTCCAAGAGCTTTGTTTAGGAGTCTTAAACCTCATCAATCTCCGAGCGAGAGGAACTGCTAACCATAGCCATATTTCCTCCATAATGGGACTACCACGTCCCCATCGACAATCACAGGTAGGAAGATCTCGTCAAGCATTGTTGAGCTGCCGCACCTGTGAGTTTGGTTGAGGGCCCCTTTGGATCCTGCTATCTTCGGTACTCCTAGGCTCAGTTGTTGTTTTTCGTTTCCTGAGCATGGGCGTAAGCAAGAGAGAGTATCCTACCCCGAGCAGAATCCGAAAGATCGAAGCCTGGGTCTCAGGATGTGGTTCCTGCTATTGCGGCTTTACGGCCCTTTGGAACCCTGGTTTGACAAAACCTGGCCACTCGGATTGCGCCTGCAGTAGCTGGTGTTGTTAAGTTACAGTTGGCCCTGCGGGGCACATAAACATTGGCTTCGAGTGTGTGCACGCTGGCACGCTGGCCAAGTGCACACGAGGCCTTGGCCACTGAGTGACTAAGTAATATGATGAGGCGGCCTGGGGAGATTGTCGAAGTAGTCGAACCGGCAGCAAAAGCAGCACGAACAAGCTGAGGAGGCAAGACTGTCCCACCATGATGACGATATTATCTAGATTCTTAGAAGAGAGTGATATCTGAAATGTACTTGTGATGTTACCTGCGTGCTCGTGCTAGTGCAGGAGGACTTCGTCGAAGCTTCCGTGCCGGTCTTGGAGTTTGGTTGCACTGCAGAGCTTCCCGGCTGGTGGCACATGTGAGACACGTGTCATCTCTGGTGTCTTGAGGCGCCTTCTGTCCACTCCCTCGAGATCTGTTATCAGCAGGAGCTCTCCCGGACGTATATGCGACAGGTTGATCGCTTCGGAAACAAAACAGGACCTCTGAGACAGAGTTATCATGTATCACCACTCACATACTGAAAAGCGAAATTTCGTGGAGATATAGTAGAATCGGACGAGGCCATCTGTTGCGCCGTTCTCGTAGCAGCTGTCCTAGCAGGCTGAGAGAAGTCTGGCGGAATCGAACATTGCGTCGACATTTGGCTGGTCACCGTTGGAAAGTATCACATGACTATTAACTTAGTGATTAAGTTCGCCGCCACTGGCCCTCCTAAATCCTCGAAACATCTGGTTATAGCAGGAACTGAGGGCTTTGAAGATGCTGACACACATACATGCAGATGTTTTTGGCCGCAGTGGTTCAAGGCAGTTTTGGCTAGAGACGGTCACTTACGTAATTGTTTCCCGTCGGCAGCCAAGCCACGGGCATACTGCGTGGTTGGAGTCTTAGTGTTCCACACGGTCGATTTATGCAAATGTTGGCGTTGGGATTCAATACTTGCTGTGTTTCGACCCTTCATTGGCCCTGCGACCTCAGCCAAGGCATGGAGCAAGGTGCCAAGGCCGAGGCCCGGAGCATCCGGAGTGCAATTATGCCTGCCTCGCCTCATTATTCTCGGTCGCTGCCAAATAACCCGGTTCTTGGAGGTCGCCTGGAAACCCCGTTAGAAATACGGTCGTGGTGGGTTTGGCTGGTTTTAAGGATTTAACTGAGAAACTGCTTAGGAGTTAT